ATTAAAGTTATTTAATTTTGTTAATACTTATCACCGTAATTAGTTTTATTTATTCGAGATAAATTATTTAAGCTTATATCATCCTGTTCTACTTTATTTAACTAATTGGGATAATGCTAGATGAAACTTTACTGTAGATATTGATCAGGCAGTTTTGATATAAAAAAAAAATAGTTCCTCTAGCAATTTCTATTGGGTAAATTAAACTTAAAATGTTTTTAATTTAGGGAGATTTCAAGAAATTTCTTAATACCTCAACATATATTTGATGAATCTTTATATGGTAGTATTTTTCATGGAAGATTCTTGGATAAGAAATACGAATTTAGTGTTTAATCGTAGTAAATCTTGAAAAAAGATAGGCTGTGTATTTTTATGTTGTTTTATTGGCTTATAAAGCTGGATGTTTAAATTATTGTTAACTTTATTTATTCCTGCTTATTATGTATTGGAGATTATTTATTAATCGATATGTTTAATTATTCAAATCGATTTTATTTAAAAATAACCATTTTTAATACTGTAAAATATATAACTTTTTTTATTTTTTTTTGCTAATTTTGCGATTACATCTTAGTACTATTTTCAGTTTATTTATTTTTTTTTGCTAATTTTGCGATTACATCTTAGTACTATTTTCAGTTTAATGGTTTTACAATTTGTAACAAGGTTCAAGAATTTATTGGAAACGTTTGTTTTATATTATTTATTTGCAAAATTATTTATTTAATTTAATGTGTAAGGTTAAAGAATATATAATAAAGTTATTCAAGTGCATAAAATTTTATTAATTTCATTTGTTATCAAATATTAGAGAAATTTATAACGTTAAAGAAACTGTTCAATATCTGAACATTAAAATAAAGTGAATTAATAGATTTGTATATTTATAAGCAAGTTTGACATTGTAATACTTACCCGGTAGGAATATCAACAGACTCAATAGATTTACTTGTTGATGACATTTCTTTTGAAAACAATAAATCTGATTAATTATTTATTGCATAATATTTATTTTCAAATAATTTTAATTAATACCTTTAATTGCATTGGCTATCTTTTGAGTGTTAATAATTTTGCTAGTGTACATATGATCTGGATGATTTTGAGGAATTATTGGCAACGTTTTAATGATTTGATCTGCATTTAAGAACTGTTTTTTGTTATCATTTTCAACATCTGAAGCTAACTCTTTAAGCCAATCAAGAATTTTATCATAAATATGCCATGCACTAGGCCGTTTTGGATTCATACATTTCTTTACTAATTCGACATAGCAGTCAGGAGTTCCGAAAGCAAACTCTGGACGTAATCCTTTACAAATCTTTACTGCAAGTTCTTCATTAAATTGATAACCGTCAAAAGGTCTTTGCCCATTTGACATTTCTGTCATAATAATACCAAATCCATAAATATCTGCTGCTTGCCTGATAAAACTTCAGGTGCAACATAAGGCAGGACTCCAAAAATATCGCCCACTGAAATACATTCATTGTTCTTTCTAGACAATCCTAGATCTGCGATGTAAGATTGTATATCTTCATTAGTGCGTTGGTCTTGCAAAATGTTGCCGCTGTGAAAATCTGCATGAATGTATCCTGCCTGATTGTGAATACTGTATAACTCAAGTGAAATATCTTTAAGTATTTGTAATTTAATTTGCCATGTAAGTTTACTAAAATTCTCTCCTAAATATTTATGAAGACTCCCTTTATTAGCATACTGAAATACCATCAAGTATTCATTGGTTTCTGTATTTATAGTTATTCCATATATTGCGAGCTTAGAATGATTTAATTTACATTCCATAAGATTTTTAAACTTTAAATTTAAACAATGTATTAGTTCAATAAACTATTAGATATATTATAAAGCAACAAAATAAATTACCTCTTTTAAAAAATTGAATTTGTTTTCCTCAGAACTTGTCAATGTTTTGAGTGTAACTCTAAATGGTTTACGCGTTTTTTTGTAGATACAACTATTACCGTCATAAATTTTATCAACTTTTCTTATGCCATCCAACCAGGTTGCTGAATATATAGAGCCAAATCCACCTTTATCGATTTCTTTAACATCAGATAATCTATTAAATGGTATCCATTCAATCACATCTTCATATGCACAGGCTCTAAGTTGGAATTCTCATCAATATCTTTAATTCCACTTGTCCAATTTATTGTTTTGTCAGGGTCGCATGATAGACACCATGCTTTATTCGTGTTATCTTCATTACAGTGTGCACATTTTCCATAGGAAAAAGATCTATATGATATAATGTTTTATTTCGCATATGTAATTTTACTTTATATCGAATGTAAATAATTTTATACTTACCAACTAAATTGTAATTTGTACGTAATGGTAAATAAGTATTTATGTTCTTATTTGTGACTTGCTTTGTTGTTTTTATTTCTAGAAATTGTTAAACGTTCTTTATACTTACATGCTAAATGAAATTAATGTGAATGAAATGATTGTACATAATGGTTAATAAGTATTTATATTCTTGTTTTGTAAACTTGTTTTCGAATAATTTTGCCTTGAATTATTAAATCTTCATACTTACAGACTAAATTAATGCGAATGAAATAATTTGTATGTAATGATAAATAAGCATTAGTGATCTTGTTTTGTTAACTTTTTTTGATGGTTTATTTTGTAAAATCATTAAATGTCCTTTATACTCACCGGCTAAATTAATGCAAATGAAATGATTTGTATATTGTAGTAAATAAGTAAATAAGTATTTATGTCTTGTTTTGTGAGCTTGTTTATTTTTGTAAATTATTAAATGTTCTTTATACTCACTCACTGAATGAAATGATTAATGCGAATAAAATGATTTGTATGTAATGGTAAATAGTAAATAAGTAGTTATGTCTTATTTGCGAACTTGTTTTGCTGTTTTTATGCAGTAAAATTATTAAATGTTCATTATACTCACCGACTAAATTAATGCGAATGAAATGATAGGTACGTAATGTAAATAAATAAATAAGTATTTTATTCTTATTTTTTGCTGTTTTTATTTCGTAAAATTATTAAATGTCCTTTGTACTAACCGACTAATTAATATGAATGAAATTATTTTTACGTAATTGTAAATAAGTATTTATGATTTTGTTTTGTAAACTTGTTTATTTTGTAAAATTATTAAATGTTCATTATACTAACCGACTAAATTAATGCGAATGAAATAATTTGTATGTAATGGTAAATAAATAAGTATTAAGTTCTTGTTTTGTGAACTTGTTTTCTGTGTTTATTTCGTAAAGTTATTAAATATTCTTTATACTCACGAGCTGAATGAAATGATTAATGCGAATGAAATGATTTGTGCGTAATTGTAAAATAAGTATTTATGTTCTTGTTTTGTGAACTTGTTTTGCGTATTGGTTTGTTCTTTTTATTTCTAAAAATTATTAAATCTTTATACTCACAGACTAAATTAATGCGAATGAAATGATTTATATGTAATGGTAAATAAGCATTTGTGATCTTGTTTTGTGAACATTTTTTGCTGTTTTATTTTATAAAATTATTAACTGATATTTATACTCACGAGCTGAATGAAATAATGTGTATGTAATTGTAAATATGTAAATAAGTAAATAAGTAATTATGAACTTGTTTTGCTGTTTGTTTTATAATATTATTAAATGTTCTTTATACTCACGAGCTGAATGAAATGATTAATGCGAATTAAATGATTTGTACGTAATAGTAAATAAGTATTTATGTTCTTGTTTTGTAAACTTGTTTTGCTGTTTTTATTTCGTAAAATTATTAAATGTTCTTTATACTCAACTAACTAAATCAATGCGAATGAAATAATTGTACGTAATAATTAATAAGAATTTACGTTTTTGGTTTGCGAACTTTCTACGAATTGTTTTGCTGTTTTTATTTCATAAAATTATCAAATATTTTATACTTACTAACTAATTAATTCGATTGAAATAGTTTGTACGTATAGTAAGTAGGTATTTTATGTTCTTATTTTGGTAACTTGTTTTGCTATTTTTATTTCGTAAAATTATTAAATGTTCTTTATACGTACGGGCTAAAATAACAAAAAAATTAATATTCATGAGCTTAAATTCTTATATAGATTAATGAATACATTTTAGACTTACTCCCTAATAATTAAAAATTGTATAAGAGATTCAAATTTTCAAAGAAATTACAAAATATTATCAATAAAAAAAATTAAAAATTAACATACTTCTTGATCCATTCTAAAAAATTATCCTTATCCTTCTCTACACCAATTCCATAAAAGTAACAAATAGCCGTTTTCCAAATTCCCATAGAATTACCAGCCTCACCAGACTTTAGATAATATGCAAACGCTTTATACTTGTCAATTTCAACTCCAATTCCTAAATAATAACAATAACCAACTTGATACATTCCGTTAGAATTATCCATGTCGGCTGATTTTTGATAATAAATGAATGCATGATTATCATCCTTTTCAATACTTACAAAAATTAAAAATTATTGACAAAAGTTTATTTAGTTTATGTTAAAAAAACATGATTCAAAAATTAAATATTCCTCCTCATTAAATAAGGGTGTATATAATTAATTAGAGAATATAAATGCTTTTGAAAATAAAATAACTTATATTACTTTTTAGTAAAGATTTTTGATGACCATTCATCATTTTCATCAATTTTTAGTAATTTATTCACATCCTTGAAAGATTCTTTATATTTTCCTATTTGATAATAGGCTTCTCCTAGATACCTTAGCGCAAATTTGCTGTTTGGTTCAATATTAAGTAATTTTGTTAGATCAATAATTGCTTCTTCATATCTTTCCATTAAGTAATAGGATTCTCCTCTATATCTTAGTGCAAATTTATTGTTTGGTTCAATATCAAGAAAATTTGTTAAATCAATAATTGCTTCTTCATATCTTCTCATTAGGTAATAGGACTCTCCTCGAATTAATTGTAATTCCTTTTCAATAGTAGCACCTAATGCACTGAGTCAAGATGTATTATAAGTTATAGTAGAATAATTTGGCGTGTTTGCAATTCCCCACTTAATCAATTTGTTAAAGACTATTAATTCATGTGCACAAATCATATCCAATTTTAATATATTAAGTAATAATTCCTCATTAATCGAAGAAAATTCTGGTGAATCAAATAAGATCTTTGGATTTTCTGCCACCATATCTTGGCAAACTAAGTAGAGTTCACGGAGGTATGGAAGTTTATGAGAAGCCTTTAGTGCATAAATAAATTCATTATTGCTCAAATACTCTTTACCTCCTTCTAATAATTTAAATTTTAAAAGATCCATAAAGTCGTGAAGGAAAAGAAAATCTAATAAATCTATAGGAAACGTTGGGTCTATATTGCTTAAAATAATTGATCCATTACAAATTCCTCTAGAAATTGAAACCCATAATTATTAATATTGATATTACTAAAATAATGAATACGTAAGTTCTAGTAAGATAAAAATGAATACTTACTCCAATATTTCTTTTAAAACATCACAGGACATTTCTAATTCTAGGTTATATATAATGTCATTATTCTTTCTCCACTTATCCGATAAAGCTCTACTGCTGAGAACTCTTGAATCCGCTTGAAAAACCTCAACCTTTTTATGTTTTTTATCAAAAATTTGTATAAGAGTATCTTTCGTTATATTCAAAGAATATAAGCTAAAAGACATCATTATGTCATTTGTCATTATTAATCGACACTATTTAACTTCAGTACTGTATACGTATTTGTATCATGTGAAAATTTTGTTATATTTCTAAATTTGGTTATAAATGGTACCCAACGTATGTACTCAGTAAAAATGTATTGGCACGTGACTGATCAACAAAAATTGGCCAGTACTAATTGAGGATCGTTTAATTTTTTTTTAACTTCTAGCAAAGGTTTCTCAACGGCTTCCCAATTAAATTCGACAAAATTTTTTTATTTTAACTATTTTATTGTAGAACTAGAACATGATTATGCAGGCGGCTTCGCCGCCTGTTTTAATTATTATGTATAGAGGCTAATTGTATTCTCATATTTAAATAATTCAAATAAAATGATAAAGTGTAACTTGATAGTAAAAATTCACAATTTGAATAATCTATTTCAAATACTCAATTTATTAATTTTATTTTCACTTATATATTTCGTAAGTGAAAATGAAATAGATACATAAATGACTTATCTATCTATTTTAATTGGTGTAAACAAAACAAAGTTAATGAAATTGTATAAGAAGTCACGAATTTAACGAATTAGAATCTTCGCAAATTAATTTATATGAATGAATACTTAATTGAGTAAAATTAATGTAAATAAAATGGGTACGTGTTATTTCACCGACAGCTTACCTCACCGACAATTAATTCAAAGATAAGTTCATTTCATTGACAATTAACTTACCGACAAGTTCATTTCACCGACAATTATTTTACTGAAGCTCATTTTACTGTTAATTTTTTTATAAATTATACTAATCAGTAAATTTTTTTGCCTTGATATTTTTGTCACGAAATGACATCTTCATTTGTCAAAACATCACGGAAAAAACATCACACGGCCATATAATACAAACAATAATATCGATATTGGTCATATGTAAATAACAGGAAATTTTTTTAATTGTGAGTTAATATTACTTATGTGCTGCACAGCAGCACATGGAAGTGACATTAACTCCGATGAAAAGAATGACCAATATCTTATAATTCTAACTTTACACTAACAACAATGACCAGAATTACTTGGTCGGTGAAATGAGCTGTCAGTAAAATAATTGTCAGTTAAATAAACTTACTTGTCTATGAATTAATTGTCGGTGAAGGGATTGTTGGCGAAATGCGCACCACTCAATAAAATAAATATTCAATAATTAGTGGGACTCTAGATTTTTAATATATAATAAATACTTAGTCAGTTTGACCAGCTCACCGACAAACATTATAGTTACTGACAATTTATTCACAGATAAGGTTTATTTGGATCCGATCATTTCGATCAACTCATCGACAATCACTTCGTAGACACTGACAATTACTTACCGACAAGTTTAATTCACTGACAGTTTATTTCACCGAAGCTCATTTTACAGACAAAGTAATTATGGTCAATATCATTAGAGTTAGGTTAGAATTAGAGTTAAAGATAGTGTAATTTATAAAAAAAAAAGCTTGTCAGTGAAATCAGCTTCGGTGAAATAGACTGTCGGTAAAATGAACTTGTCGATGAATAATTGTCGGTGATGTGGTGCCTATGAAATGATTGTCGGTGAATAATACGGGCCCGGTTTATTTTACATTCACAGACAAATTCATTTCATAGCAATATATTTTACCAACAGCTCATTTCACACTAACCT